TTCCAATAACAGTATTAATGAATTAAAAGTTTTTCTGATTAACATTTTTATTTGAATAACAAGTAAATATAAAACTAATGAAATTTGCTTCAAATGATCTTAATGGTGATAGTATATGCAAATCCCTTCAGCTTTTTAAAAAAAAATTTTATTCTTATATTTTTTATGTCATATCTTATATATGACAACAGAATGCATTATAATTGATATTACATATGTACAGCACAAGTTTTCATCTCTCTGCTTGCATATAAAGTATATTCACACTATTCATGTCTTTTTTATACATGCACTTAGGGCAGTGATGTTCATCTCATTCCAGCCCAGCTTCTTTTATAGAAATGAAAAAATGAGATTATTTGTGTATCTGCACAACTATTAACACAGGTTTTTATAGAAGCCCCACATCTAAAGAAATATTTTGCCCACATAACAAATTTACTTTTCCCTATATAACATTAACTTTCAATTTCCATACATTTTAAATTTCAAAAACCTTTTATGACATCTTCTAGCTTTGGAGAAGCAGCTGATGCTAGTTCTCTTTCTCCCTCTTTAACAGGGAGAAAGAGAACTGTGGCCAAGAACACAAGGGCAACTTACTTTCATAAAAAGCACCCCATAAAGCTGAAAATAAATAATTCATTTAACCACAGAACTTTTATTTATTTATTTTTTTTGTAACCACAGAACTTTTAAACTCACAATCTTAAATAAAAGTATTTTCTAAACTGTGGGCAATCAAAAATAGCAACATTAGTATGTTGATTTTAACAATATAAATCAAATGTTAATGTACATTTAAAAGTATCTACTGAAGATTTAAAACTGCATTAGACCTTACTTAGGTGAAATGATGCTAAATTTTGTGTAGAGCTAATTACAGAGGGTTGTTTATATATAATAGAGAGCTAGGAACAGAGGCCATCCCTTTATGGTACATCTAGGAACACAGTACTTCCTTTGTCTCTGTCCCATTTTTATACAGGAGTATAATGCCAAGAATGTTTTCCAGATAAGGTGACATTCAAGGTGAGACCTGAGGGATAAGTATGGAAGGTCAGGAAAAGCCATTCCAGTAGAAAGTCATGACTGTTTCAAAAGTAATTTATTATTATTTGTTAGCCATTCATTCAACAAGGATGTATTGAATAACAGCCATTTCAGCATAGATATGTCTTAAAAAAACTCTTCAAAATCTGGGTTCAACAGTTCATTGTTTGAGTTGTTCTGAAACTATGAGCAACAAAGTTCTCTCATCTTTATAATTCTTTCCTCTTTGCCTCATAGTGAGAATTTTCCTTTTTTTTTTTTTGTCTTTTTTAGGCCCTATATTAATATATTTTAAAATTATATGTAAAATTGTTAAATATATTATATAAAATACATTACAAATGAATTTGGTGTTTGTTCCATCTAAAAACATGTTTATTCATAATAGCATTGTAAGATAAATAATCTAAAACAAAAATAATGAATTCATGAAGTTTCCTTATGAAGTTCAGAGTTGTGAATAAGGAATCATAAAGATTCATTTATCCTTTAACTATTATGATCAATAAAAACAATCAGTAAGATTACAGTATAAGAAAATATGAGAAAGCAAGTCTTTTCATGTTATATAAATTTTAAAATTGAAAACAACCACCTTTTATCAATAAGCTTTT